AGAAAGCCCACGTGCAGAAATGAAGACCCAACACAGCCAAAAAGATAAATAAATTAGATAAAATAAAATTTTTAAAAAGTTAAGAACAAAACACAAAAAGCACAAGCAAATTCTAATACCAAAAGCACGAAGAAATTCCATCAAGAATGAATGCAGTATCACTGATTCACTTTGTTATAAAGCAGAAACTAACACACCATTGTAAAGCAATTATACTCCAATAATGATGTAAAAAAAAAAAAAGAATGAATACAAAACAAAAGCCAACAAACTGGTTCACGAAGCAGGTAGAGTCCAACAACAATTCCCCTCTCCAGCAGAGTACCCAATCAAATGAACAAATTGGCTTTTCCCTTAAAGGAAAGAAGCCCAAACTGAGAGGGGAAAATGTTCCCAGTTGTATATACTGGAGCTACTTACCCTACTATGTGAGACCCATTGGCTCCCAAATGTTGATTCCCCACTTCAGCTGCCCAGCGCTGGGGCAGCCTGTGCCACTTCAGGGAATTTTGAAGGAAAGATCCTCAGGACAAATGGTCCTGGTGGCTGCTAGGGCCTTACATGAAAATTCCCCAATGGAAGCCAGCTAGCCACAAGCACCAAGGCTCCTGGCCGGCTCACCAAAATTTGTTGCCGAGCCCAAGCTCACTCTGCTCAGCTGACAACAGGCCAATAAATCAGGAGACAAGATGTTGGGACAAGGAAGAACAACTTTAATTGGAAAGCTAGCAGACTGAGAAGATGGCAGAATAGTGTCTCAAAAAACCATCTTGTCCCAGTCCAAATTTGGGCTCCTTTTATTTTTATTTTATTTTATTTTTTGGACTCCTTTTATACAGAAGAGGAGAGGGAGGGGACTACTGCAGTGCCAACCAATGGCGTAGAGGGACCACTAACGGTCATTTGTTGACAGTTGCTTGATTGGGGGAAGGGGTCACTGTAGCACTGACCAATGGCTGAGCAGGACTGCTTAGGTTGCACCTGCCCCACCCCTATTACAGAACAACTCCACCCAGAGTCTATGTAAGGCACTGTTTTATTAGAATCATAAAAACATACACACTTACATGTGAATTTGTAACTGGGAGAAACGCTGTCTGAATGTAAGATGTTTTTCCTTTGACCCTTCTGACTTTCCTTCTGGGGCCTTTCATTTTGTCACTAAATTTTGTCTTCTTGTAGCTTCACCTCCCCTGCCTCTCACATATCTCCTCCTTGTAGCTAAATAGATGTCACTAGAAGTGAAGCAAGACGGTTTAGGCAGCCAGTAAACTAGTAATAGGGGCAACTGAAGGGGAGAGACTGTTTGGTGCCGACATTCCACCAGGAAGTCTCCTCTGTGAATAAACAGCTCGCCTGTGTGTGGCCAAAGGCTGCGGCTTAGGATGGGAGGAGTTCTAGAAACCCGGGCGATGGACTTAGATGAGTTTTCTCTTCTTAAATCATAGCGTTCCTGTGTTGTCCAGATCAGACACTTAGACCCTTCTTCTCTGTTATGGAGCCTAAACCAGCCTCTTGTTCATACTCCCTTGAAACCCATGAGGGGCAGTGACGTACCTCATCCTGAATCCACAGTCTCACAAACTAAACAGAAAAAAATGAGTTTGCATTTGCGTGTGTGTGTGCGTGCGTGCGTGCATGTGTAGGGTTCAAACCCAGGCCTGCCGTGGAGCCCACACTTTCTCAATGTGGCTCTAGGGCTGCACAAAATGGATGGGAGCTCATAGGTAAGAACAGGAAGCTCCAGCTGGTCAAGGAAGGCCTTTCAGAGAGGTCTCCCTGAGGCCTCACCCTGACGGGAGGCCCGGATCCTGGAGTGGAGAGACAGTGCACCTGAGAGGACAGCCACAGAGTGTCAGGGGACCGTGACCAGGCGGGCAGTGGGTGGATGTCACTGAGTGGACTGTGCAGCACCTTCTGGGGCTTCTGGGGAGAAGGACCTGATCTGCCCTGCGTGGTGGGAGAAGTCCTCCAGCAACGGCCTGGGACAGGCAGAGGTTTCCAGAAGCAGACAAGTTACAGGGCTGTTAAACAGTAGCAAGAAGGAAAAGCATTGAGTTCCTAGTTCTCATGTGGTGAGGAAATAAATAACCTGTGGTACAAAAGCACACCTAGTCACAGCTGGATCCCCTCCAAGGGTTTCAGCCAGGCGTCCTGATTGTCCTTTAACGTGGCACTAGGGTCACATCCATGACCGCAGGCTGAGGTGGGGCAGGGGCAACAGGGAAGGGGCAGGTGGCACCCAGAGCAGAAAGAGGCCTTGGGGAGAGATGGGAGCAATCTTGGCCTGGCCCAGGGGGAGGGGGCATGAATCTCCAGGGATGTGATAGGGCAGAGGAGCTGCCAAGACATCCGGGCTCTGATGGGGTAGACTCAGAAATGGGAGGAGGCTGGAGGTGTCAGGGGCCTTCCTGGCCCAGAGGAGCAGCATCTTCATCTGGGTCTGCGTGTGGGGGGAGGCCACAGTGTGGCCCCCATCTCGAGGTGTGGCCACACATACCACATCTCTCACAAAAGGGACAGCATGCCTGCCAGCATCCTCACAGTCCAGGTCTAGAGGCAGGGACCTTGGGCCTCAGAGGTTCCTGAAGTTCCTGCCTCTGCTTTTTGGAAAGGGTCCTGCCAGAGCCAGGCAGCCTGGGTGCCACCACCTGGACAGCTGGGGCCTGCCCTGTGACCCAATCTCTCTGCACCCAGGAGACCCCAATACGATCCTAGACCAGACAGTTGCACAAGAAAAGTCTACAGTGAGCACAGCCTCGGGAGCACCGAAGGTCTCCCTGGCCTCTCAGTGGACAGGGCTCTCCAGGGACTCACAGGACAGGCAGCTGTGCACACAGGCCTGGAGGGCTGCTGGGCCAAGGCCACCCCATGCGTCCACCAGGTGTGGAGCTCCGCTCCAGTGCCATGTGGACGACAACCGCCCGCCTGCCCTCGTCGCTCCACAGCCTCCTCCTGGTGCCCTCACGGACCTTTCCCTCTGTGGCAGGGCTGCTATGTGTCCTGTGGCTCTGCATCCTCACGGGCCTGCTGTTCTTCCTCGTGACCCTAACTTGCCATGACCCAAACTCCCCGAACGGCTTCTCCCTGGGTCCCTTCCAGTGTCAGCTCCTGTCTCAGCCGGTTCATCCCTGAGTGGCACCTCTGATGGGCCCAGTGCATGTTTGTGGCAGGTAATGTCGTAGGTCAAAGGTTAGTCTCTGGTCGATTAGTTGTTTAGTCAACTCTGACGCATGGACTCAGGGCTAAAGCACAGCTGTGTAAGGGCCGGCGATGTCCTTGACCTGTAATGTGCAGTGGAGGATCATGAGACCCACTAATAGAACACACATGTCTATGTATGTGCACATGTGTACACTAGCTGTATAAATGCACATGTGCATGTACACATACATATATGTGCATGTGTGTCTATGCCTGTGCATCACTGTTGCAACACTGGGGTGAAATGTACATGGAAGTGGGATGTTCGGCCCTGTGTTTTTTTTGTGGTACGCGGGCCTCTCACTGCTGTGGCCTCTCCCGTTGCGGAGCACAGGCGCCGGACGCGCAGGCTCAGCGGCCATGGCTCACGGGCCCAGCCGCTCCGCTGCACGTGGGATCCTCCCGGACCGGGGCACGAACCTGTGTCCCCTGCATCAGCAGGCGGACTCTCAACCACTGCGCCACCAGGGAAGCCCTGGCCCTGTGTTTTAGAAACATTAACAGTGAGCTTGTAGTCATGCCCTGTTGTTTAGTGTGAGAAAATTCCACAGGGAAAGGAAATGAAGAGGTTGTATCACATTCTCATCTTTATGATGAAAGCCAGGAAATAACTTAAATGTCTAAAGAGAAACTAATATCTAAATATTCAGATATATCTACTGAAAGGAATTTTATACATTTGAAATGTTCATAGTTGAGACTTAACAACCGAGAAAATGTTTATGTGGAAAAATTGGGAAAAATACAGACTTCTTTCTTATGCTCACTATTTAAATTAACATATGAGAATATCCCAGAAAAATGAAAATGATGTGTTGTAGCAGGGGAGGGGTTTTACAGGTGATATTTTTCCTAAGGTTCTTTACAGTTGTTGTTTTATATCACTTTGACAATTAAAAAACAAGAGGTCATTGGAACTACAAAGAGGTACAGGAACATAGTTTTATTGGTGGAGGTGACTTTTCTAGGAATAACCAGTGTGTTTTTCCGGCATCCTCAGGCTTTAAGCAGCTGCGGGTAAAATCCCAGTTTTACAAGCATCACTACTCCTAGGCTGAGGCCCCAGTCATGTCTCTGCCCACAGCCTTTTCTCTCTTTCTTCCTTTTCAAACCACAAACCCTCTGGTTAAGAACTTAAATGGACAAGAAGGGCTCTGGAATTAGATGCACGTGTCTGAACGTGGACTTGGGGTAAATGTCTCTGCCCGCGGCGCCTGGGGTCTCGTTTGGGGGCATCGGTGAGTGGCCTGCTCTTGGACGGCACTCAGCAGAGCAAGCACTGTGTCCTGGCAGCCGCTCCCGCCAGCCGGGTGTTGTAAATCCTACACTGATCCCCAGAAAGGATGGGGTGGAAGGTAGAACTCGGGCCTCGGGGCCCCGAGATGGATGGGAGCCCTGGTTCTGAGAGTCCCCGGTAGTGGTGCTCTGAGCCGTCACCGAGGGGCTCTGATGCTTCTCAGTGAAATGATGGGTCTGGCGTCACCATGAAGACTGGTTGAGATCATCACGTGAACTGACTGAAAGCTGTAAAGCGCTGTCACAACGGGTGGTGCCCTGGACCATCACTAATCCCGAGCCTGTGCTCCCGAGGACCCTCCCCCTCTCCTGCAGACCTGCCCGTTGGGGGCTGGGGCTGGACTTGGGACTCAGGTCTTCAGAAGAGGAGACTGAGACCCAGTGGGTCCCCTGCAGCCTCAGGCTCCGTGCTCCTGGCCCGCCCACAGAGAGGTCCCTGCTGTGTCCCCGTGCAGGGCCCCACCCTCGAGTGACCGCCCTCTCTGCTCTCTCCGTCTCAGGGCGCAGCGTGGATCTTGGCCTGGCCGGTCTGCTGGGGCAACAGGCACCGCGCTCCAAACAGCCTTTCGTGGTCACCTTTTTCAGGGCGAGCCCCGGCCCCGTCCGAGCCCCTCGGGCGGTGAGGCCCCTGAAGAGGAGGCTGCCGAAAAGAACCAACGAGCTGCCGCCCCCAAACAAACTGCCGGGGATCTTCGGTGAGGTTGGGGACCAGGTGGTGGGGACAGAACCCTCCCGGCTTCAGTGGGGTCAGGCTGATGGTCAGTCACCCAGCCACCTTTCCTGACACCACTTTGCCCCTGCACCCTGGGGACCAGCCGCTGCAATGTCTCCAGGGCTCTGAGCATCTGCCCTCACCGCCCCTGCTGCCCTGAAGTCCCTTCCTGCCCTCCCTGGCTCACCAGGCCCCCCCCACCCCCTCGTCAAAATCAGGTGCCCCTGGTGGCCCTCGGTGCTGCCCCGGGCACCCTGCAGGATCCAAGCGTTTGTGTGAAGGTGTCCCTACCAGGCCAAGCCCCTGGGGATCAGAGCCCCCTGGTGCCCTCCTTTCCTTCACGGGGAGCCAGGCTTTGCTTGGCCTCAGTGGGAACCACTTGTCCTGTGGAATGGGCGTGGCTGGAGAGGCGGATGACGTCAGGGGTGTCTCCGGAGGAAAGGAGGAGGGGCTGCTGGACGGCAGAGGGTCCCTGGGCTGTTTAGTGGACCATCGGGAGTCACAGGCTGAAAGTCAGGGGAGGCTGGGCTGAGCGTGGGGTGACTGTAATCACGGGGAATCATCTGGAACCATCGAAGGTTCTTGACCAGGGTCACGGCGCCAGCAGAGCTGCAGAGATGGGCTTTATGAGACCAAATGGGTTAGTTTCCCATCATTCATTTACTCAACAAATGAGCCAATCAGGGCGTCCCCCGCCCCGGGAGCTCCCTGTGGTGGGTGCACAGAGCAGGAACCCCAGCAAAGACCTCGCCCCTTCTGTCCCCCACAGACGACGTCCACGGCTCCCACGGCCGACAGGTGTGCCGTCGGCATGAGCTCTATGTCAGCTTCCGGGACCTTGGCTGGCTGGTAATTCCTGACTCTCGTTCTTTCCTAAATGACAGTCCCCATCTTGATGATGGCAAGTGTATGTCCAAGAGGAGGTAGAATCCTGGGGGATTTGCATTTTCTTTTTATTTTCCTCTGTGTTTTCCCAAGTTCTCTAAAGGGAGAATGTGTTGCTTCTGTAGTGAAAAGTGCTTTTTTGTGAAAACCATGAAAATGGAGACTGTCTGAATCCTTAGCCATAAAATGTCAGAGCAGCAGCAGGAAAACTGAGGCCAGGGTGGGCAGTGCCTCTGGCCTTTGCTGTGACTGGGGGTGGGCTGGGGAGGACGAAGCTGAGCGCTGATGGCACATGAAGGGGACGGAGATTGTGCCCGGCCCTGTCTGCTGAGGGTCTTCCGGTGGATGTCAGGCATCTGGGGGACACTGCCCTGGGAGGGGCCCGAGGGTGGGTTGGTGGGCCCTGAGGCTGAGGGACAGTAAGGGGCAGCCCTGAGTTGTGCTGTGACAGGTGCTGGACTGGGGGGCTCGGGAGGGGCACATGAATGGGACTCACCCTCTCCCATTACCTGCCCCCAGGACTGGGTCATCGCCCCCCAAGGCTACTCAGCCTATTACTGTGAAGGGGAGTGCTCCTTCCCACTGGACTCCTGCATGAACGCCACCAACCACGCCATCCTGCAGTCACTGGTCAGTATGACGTCCCTCTGCCTGGACGCCCAGGGGAGGGGTTTGCGGAGGAGAGGGGCGTGTGCAGCCAGCAGGTGATGGCAGCACTGCCGTGTCAGGGAGCTTTCTCTAGATGGAAACCTTTCTGCGTGCGCGTGCACTGAAATCCCACAGCCGTGCAGAAACTGGTCCCCGTGTGGGCCACCCCCAACCCGTGCACCTGAACACACGTGCACGTGGGGGACTTGCATGTCCATGCGGTGGGTACCAGACTTGTAAAGGCCCGCCTGCTGGTGGTCAGAGGCACAGCCCGTGCATGATAGGCGGGCATCCCACACGGCTACTTGTGCCCTCAGAACACACATGCGCACCATGTTCACTGGCACGTTCGGCCTCCTGTGTGTCACACACGCCCTCAGGGTCGGGGTGGGTGACACGTGTGGGTTCTGCCCCCTCTTCCTGTGCAGGAGTCACCAGGTACCCCGTGCCCTTCTGGTTTCCCCTCCCGTGCCTTTCCCGTTGGCTCTGTTTTCTGGGTCCCTCTCGGCTCTTTGTGTCTCTACAGGCTTTTGATGCCCCGGTGTCTGGGGAAACTTTAAATGCTGAAAAATTTCTAATAGGAACACTGTTGCTTATCGCTGCTTTTCGCTGCGTGTTTTAAATGTTTTTTAGTGCTGAGGCTTCTTTCTAGAACATTGACCTGGACACTGTAGTTACAGGCTGTTCAAGGTGATGCCCTAGAGCAAAGGAGTTAAGGCAGCGTGGACCCCCGGATAATGCCTCCTTTCCCAATGGTCACATGGGGTTTGCGGGACCCCCGGGGAGCTCCTTCCTTGAAGAAGGTCGGGGTGATGGAGCCTGTCCTGGCAGCAGGCTGCTCAGAGCTGGGGCTTCTGGGGTAAGGCTGGGCTCTGGGGACCGGGGGCCAGGCTGCCGGACAGGGCCCCCCATGAGACGGCTTCGCCCAGGTCCTGCTCCAGCGGCCTCCGTGAGGCCTGGGAGGTCCCGGTGGATGGAAGCAGGTTCCCTTTTCTCTCCAGCCCCTGACAGGCTGGGGGGCTGCCTTCACGGCCCTTCCATGAAGAGTCCAGGGTGAATGGCAGCTCATCCTGCCGAGTCTCCAGATAAATATTTTTGTAGAGGCTGCAAGAGTTCACTCAGTCGGGCTCTTTAGGGGTAGAGCTGTTTGGAGGAGGGTAGCGGGATCCCCGTGCCAGGTCCCAGTCGTGCCGCGGCCTCGGCCTCAGCCATGGAACTGGGCAGGTGACTCGGTCCCTGTGCCCTCAGTGGTCATCTGCCCAGAACAATCCCTGCCTAGAAATCGTTAGGAGGGGTGGAGGTGCTTTGAGAAACAACAGTGTCGGACACCCCAAGGGTGAGCCCAGAAGTCTGGCCGCCAGCAGGTGTAACACGGACCTTCACCGGCTCCCAGTCTGGAGGGGGAGACGGACCAGAAACAGCTCAGGCGGACAAGACACGATCAGGGACGTTGCAGAAGCGCAGGGAGGAGAGAGGAGCAGAGGGGACCCCGGGGGCGACGCTGCAGGGGCGCAGGCAGGACCTGGCACACGTGCCGGGGGCCAGCAGGGTCAGGGTCGTCCTGTCTGAGGGGAGGGGCTGTGACAGGAGCCACAGGTGCCCAGGCTGGGCCTGAGGGCAGCGGCGGGGCGGGGGGAGGGGTGGGGGCGGCCAAGGGGGCGGGGCCGGGGCAGAGCTCGCGCCGGCACCTGCCGGGCTGCGGGGCGAGATGGCGCCGGGGAGGGGCGAGCGGCTGGAGCCCGGGCGGCAGGAGCTGGGGGCTGGGACGGGCCCCCGCGGTTCTCACGCCTCTGCCTGCCGCCCCCTCCCCGCCAGGTGCACCTGATGAAGCCTGAGGCGGTGCCCAAGGCGTGCTGCGCGCCCACCAAGCTGAGCGCCACCTCCGTGCTCTACTACGACAGCAGCAACAACGTCATCCTGCGCAAGCACCGCAACATGGTGGTCCGCGCCTGCGGCTGCCACTGAGGCCCCGCCCCGCCTGCTGCGCAGCCCCTACCGGGTCAGGTCAGCCCTCCGCAGGGGGCACCCCCCAGCGCCCTCACAGCTCAGGCAAGGAGGCAGTGAGGGCGCCCCTCCGCTGCCCACATCCTGCCAGGTTCTGGTCCTCCCCTGGCCCCTCTGCCCCGTCCCCGCCCGGCGCCTGAGGCGGTGGTGGAACTCCGGCCTGGTGGTCTGCGTCCGCAGCAGGGTCCTACCCCAGCCCCCTCCCCAGAGGCACGGGCTGACCGTTCTTTGGGGCTGGCAGAGTCCTGTCTGAGGACCTGCCCTTGACCACTGCTGGCCCAGCTGTGGGCGGATGTGGGACGAACTCAGAGGCACCTGCAGCCCAGGATGGCCACCTCAGGCCCTTCACTGTCCACGACAGGGTCTGGGGATGTGTAGACAGGTCCTGTTCCATCTCCAGTTGCCTGCCCTTCCCAGGTGCAAAACTGGGCATTTCTGGGCGCTTCTGTTAGGGTGTGGTGTTGCCCTCGGTGGGCTATATTTGTGGATCTGAATGACCAAACCGCTGGCCACAAGGAGGCATGTGGGTCGCCTCCAGAAAGAGCTAAATGAACAGCATGGTTTAGGGCCAAGGCCGATGGCATTCATCTTCCCTGTCTTCCTCCTTTGACCTGCCTCTGCCGTCTGGGGAAGACGTGCAGTGCACGGACACTTTAGGGAAACAAAAAATCCTGGGGGGCTTTATTGACCCCGTCTGTCTGTCACCATGTTGAACCATCAGGAGTTCAGCTCTGTGGAAAAGTTATCTTTTTGCTGAGCCAAGTATGGTGGATACATCAGGTGGCCCAGGGTGACGATGCCCAGCACGGGTGACATAATTTCCCTTAACCTTCTGCACGGCAGTCATCAATAATGAACCTTAACATTTTTTCTTTCAAATCTGGTTAGAATTTGAAAATGACCGGCACAGAACTCCAGGTGGCCACCACCAACAGGTTAGAGTTGGCACGTGGAGTGAAAACTCTCTGCCATCTCCTGCCTCCAGTGCTCTGGGACAGGGGGCAGCCTGGGGCCAGGCGCGGAGCGAGGGCAAGGCTTGTTAGCACCTGCCCGTGTCCAGAAGCTGTCAGAAACAGAGTGTTCAGCCAAGTCTGCGTCACCCTGTGTGCCCAGGAGCCCTGTCCTGTTTCTTGGGGCCTGTGAGCCAGGGACAAGGCCCCGGTCCCAGGGAAGTGACAGGCGGCAATTAAGCTGAGCTGGGTGGGGAGGTTCCCGGAAACCACTGCTCTCCTTGGAGCGGCCGCCGGCAGTTGGAGTGTTTATTTGATTTCTGACTTGGTAAGCCTGTAATTTACCTGGTGGAGCAGACTGCGTCCAGCTGCCTGAACCCTGAAATACTGTGTCATTAAAAGCAGAGCCTGGGCCCGCCCCAACCCACAGGCACAGCCCAGGATGTGCAGCCCTGGAATTCACTCTGCGCCCCAAGGAGGGGCTCCGGGAGCGCAGGTCTGGCAGCAGGGGTGGAGGCTGGGGCCTTGCTGCAGGACAGCAGCCCCTCCGCCTGGACCTGGGAGGGCCTCTGGGAGCCAGTGCACAGGAAGAGACCCTCCCCATGGACACAGGAAGGTGGTGGTCTCTTTAGCCTGGGGCTTTGAGCTCAGGCTGGCAGTGAGCAGACCAGGTACCAGCCCAAGTGTCAGGAGACCCGTATTCTGGCTCCAGCTCAGTCACTGATGTCTTGCTACAAATCAGCAAGTGTCCCCGACTCAGGGTTCAGTTTCTTGTCTCTGGCATGAGGACATACAAGGACTCTCACGTCTCCAAAGGCCGTTCCAGCTAGAGAATCCACCTGCCACTCTGGCCGTCTCTTCTCAGCCTGAGTGCCCAGCTGTCCTAGGACTTGAAACCTGCCATTTCAGGGCCTTATTCAGAGCTCTCTCCTCCCAACATCAAGGGCAGTGGAGGCTTAGAAACTTTTGACAAATGTCAGTGTTAGGTTTCTTCAGTGCCTAAGCACATAACCTTGCATGCTTTGGGGCACCAGTAAAGTTTATGAAGTGAATGTTTTGAAGATGTGGACTGCCCTGCGCTCAGAGGTGTAGAACAAAAGGAACATAGGATTGTGATACGACTCCCTTTTCGTGCAATAAAGCCAAAAGTCCAGCAGTCATGGCCTTCCTGACACTTCTAGCACCTTCAGCCATCCAGGTGGCCACCAAATGAAATCAAATAGAAAAGGCTTCAGAGAAGGGAGACAATTAAGGACAGAAAGCTGATGAGGTGGCAGTGGTCACTAGGCCCACCTCGTTTATCTGGTTGCCCTTGGCAGTCTGGGTCACAAGTCTGGGTCAAGGCTGCACATGAGAAGCATAAATAAGGGCGGTCAACTCAGGCCCACCGGTGGCAAAGTAAGCGCTGCCCGAGAGGGTGGGCCCAAAGGAACAGCAGCGCCTGGGGCCATGCTGTGTGGGCACACTGCTCTGTCACTTCACCCCTGGTGCACATCTTCATAACCGAAGCGTGATCCTGGCCCAGATGCCAGCTCATCGGGCGAAGCCCTATTCTTGTGTGTCTCTGTAGGAAAGTAGGTGACATTCTTCAAGAAATTCCCTGTAACTTCATAGGAAAGGAAGCTGTGACAGGAGAGGGTGAGCTTTGTAGCTAGCAGACCCGCTGGCAACAAGCCCTGGCTCTGCCTCTTGTTGATCTGACCACACTGCGCAGCGGGAAGCCGGCTCCTCCCTCGTAGAACAGGCTGCTGGCTCTGCCCTGGCAAGGCCAGCGAGGGGAGCAGGTCTGTCTGGAGCACTCGGCACTGGGTCTGCACACCTGTGCTGAATGAATAGCATTATTAGTGGCCTTATTTTATTATTATTTTTTTTTGCGGTACGCGGGCCTCTCACTGTCGTGGCCTCTCCCGTTGCGGAGCACAGGCTCCGGACGCGCAGGCTCAGCGGCCATGGCTCACGGGCCCAGCCGCTCCGCGGCATGTGGGATCTTCCCGGACTGGGGGACTGGGGCACGAACCCGTGTCCCCTACATCGGTGGGCGGACTCTCAACCACTGCGCCACCAGGGAAGCCCTAGTGGCCTTATTTTAAATGAATTTGCAAATGTGGGCCTCTCCCGCGTGCCTTCCTATTAAAACGCACTCCTCCCAGAATGTGTCCTTGGAGGTGCTGCTGTACTTACTTCAAAGCTGTGCTTTTCCTAAAAAAATAAAAACTTGGTAGTCTCCTGGGGTGAGGTGTGGACTTGCCCGCCCCTCCGTGGGGGGGCCGTCGCGGCCAGCAGGGGACATGGCAGCGTTGCCCTCTCTCCGTCCTCCCACGGCCCTGCTCACTAGTGCAGCTCAAGGGGAAACTTTCTGGGGTTTGTCTCCTCACTGGGAAGCCTTGAGCAAGCATTCGGCCCTCTTAAAAAAAAAAAAAGTTTTTCTCACTTAAGGAAATATTACATGTGTGTCAGGGACACTCTTGAAAATCAAAAGCAGAATACAAACACACAATCTCACCACGTGGAGACAACCGGTGTTAATAATTCCTTCCAGGCTTCTTTCCTTAGCACATTCCTATCGGTCTCTTTATATAATATATGGGTATTCTACAAAGTTAGGATCGTACTCTGTGCGCTGCTTGGTGATCTGAATTATTCAATCTATGACATACTTTGAACATTTCTGTTACTAAATATTCTCCGGGAACACAGTTTGCAGTAGCACTCCATCACTTGACTTCTCCCTTAGTTTCGTCACTTACAAACCAGGGCTCACTATTCCTTCCCCCTGATCCTGTCACCTGCAGCCCTGGCCCAGCATCGGGAAGGCAGGGAGCCAGGGCACAGCCACCAGGCTGGCCATTAGCCCAGAACACCTGGACCAGGCACCTCAGCTCTGAGGCTCAGGTCACCACCTGCACAAGGGTCACAGGTGATGACCATGCAGTAGTTTCTGGGGAAGCCCTTACACAGGACAGGGTGAGCAATCAGCCCCTGATGATCCCCCAACCAGCCTCTCTGGCCAGTCCACTGGTCCCCCCTTCCCAGGGCCATCAGGGAGGTCCAGTGACGAAGTCCCCCCGCGCCCCCCCCCGCCCTTGTTTCACAAGGGCTTTGTGACCAGCCTTCCCTCCTGGGGCCTCAGGCCAGCCTGCCCCCCATCCCCACATCATCCCTCGGGCCAGCCATGCCGAGTCTGAGTACTTCACACACATTCCCTTGTCTCTTGGACATCACACCAGCCGCGAGTGGCCGGCATTCTCCTGGCCTCAATGCTGCGTGTTCTGACAGCCACAGCTGACCACCAGTGAGAGGGACACCTCTGATAAGTAGTGAGGGTCCCAGCCAGGAATAATAGTGCAGCAGTGGATCCCAGCCACGGGAGTGGACCCCAGCCAGCCAAAGGGGACGAAGCCCCACCTGAAGGAAGAGAGCCAGGCTGGCACAGGGCGGCAGAGGGAGGCCTGGCATCCATCCCTCCGCAGGAACTGACCTGGGGGCACTGGGGCCAGCAGGCTGCCTCACCCCCCCGACTCAACCTGATCTCAGCCCAAAATGAGACAAAGGCTGAGGGAACCAGCCCAGCACAGCAGTTTCTGAATGCTGAGACTCGATCCAGACAGCCACTCGCAGGCGGCAGGGGAGCAGGCAGCAGCCCTGGACAAGGTTTCTGGTGACTGAGCACCTGACGGGTTGCTCCGAGGTGGCCTGGCTGGTGTGGGTGACAGGCGAGCCTAGAGCAAGTGACACACCGCAGCGTCGGAGCGCAACTTCCAGGTGGGACGGTGGGCAGGGCAGGAACCACCTCTGGCTTCTTGTATCTCCCCGGCACCAAGCTCACGGCCTGGCAAAAGAAGGGCCCTGGACTCTGCTGTAATAAATTCTGACTGTTGGTTCACCGAATGAACAATAAGTGAACGGGTTGCTGAGACGGACCACTGTGCCCATTAGACTCAAGACCAGCAGGTGTGAGGGCAGGAACGGGGCCTGGCTCACCCACCTCGCCTGCCTGGCAGCAGGTCAGAGACAGGAGACA